GGATATTATAGTTGTTGTTATGCTGCATCAAATCTTTATTTTATTGTACGTCATGTTAGAGGTATTTTAAAGAAACATGTTCGCCAAAAGTGTGGCTCTGTGTCTCAGAGAGCTCAGAGTATGTACTTTCACTTTCTGTAAAGGGAGGCTATATTTAGTTTGTTTTACTAGTAAAGTGAAAACTTTTTATTGGCTTAGTTTGAGGGCCAAGGTGTAATTTAGGTTAAGGTTAAGGTTAAGGTATGTGTCAGTAATGGTTAGGTTTAGGGTAAGTGTCATGGTTAGGCTGCAAAAAGGGTAGAACATGAATGGAAGTCAATGGGAGTGTATGCAAGGTCTTCACTTTGTATTTAAAACAAGGATGTGGGTATTGACTTGTTTTGGTTCACACTGAATGCACATGAGCAGCAGACTGTGTCGTAAAGGGTCTGAAGATTGTTACCCATGAGCTACCCTCTTCTCTTTGCCAGTATCTTGTACAATAGTGGATGAAATTGAAAAAGTGGCTTGGTTTAGTAAGTATGGCTAGAGAACGCCGTTGTCGTTTCACCGCCTGCTTTAGGAGCAGTGCACTGATGATGGTCGCTAGCAGGGCTATTTTCGTCTCATCCAAGCCCAGTTTGATGATCTGGGCTTTGATGATCAGTGACTGTATATCCCACCAGGACACCAAAACATATCAGAGCACTTTCATAGGGGTTATTGGCGCAAGCAGCAAAAGTTCAGATTTTCCTACTCAAGCATCACCTACTTGTGCTTAAATGCTCATAACGTTCCAGCTGATTCGAATGCACTGCAGGACCTTTTGATGTGCTTTGATACGAGTAGTCCATAGACTTTGCTTGTAAACTAGCTGCATTAGACAATTTTCTGTTAAATATTCTGTTTTGTGAGGACTCTCAGGTACTAGGAGGGACCACTCAACTGGTCCCCAATGAGGAAAACGTCTCTTCTTGGGATTGGGGTTAGGATTAGGTCTAAGATATCAACTCACTTAAGGTTAGGATTAGGTATATGTTGGTGAAGCTTAGGGTAAGTGTCTGAATTAGGCCATATAAATGAATGGAAGTCAAAAGTCTCAATTCAACATGTACTGTATTTTCCATTGCCATTACACACAATAATCCCACAACACCATTTCCTTCACCATACTCATTGTAACTATTTCATGCCAAACCAACCTAAAGTGTTTGTTGCAAGAAACATCATTCTTGGTGACCTTTGATTTAAAACAGTCCCTCTTGTGTGTTTAGCAAACTGTATATGTTTACATTTGTGATGGTCGCCTTCAGAGACTCTTTGCTGGAGTCCTCCAATAACAAGGTGATTAATTTCACCTTATCTATCAGGCTCTTTCTGTGCATTGACAAAAGATAATAATGGGTCAGTATCTTTTCTAATGAGCTGCTAAACTTTGCTGGAGTCTTGCAAGTAACTCTCATTTCTAGAATTTGTCAAATATTTAGTGTAAAAAGTAGTTATATATGTACTACAGTACCTTCTTTTTTTAATGGCTGTACTGCATGATCCAATGAAATACTTTTACAGTAATTATATTATAGTCAACTGCACTGTATTGCATGTTTATATATGGGATAGTCACCTCAAAGTTCAGAAACTATATTTGACTATGTTTAGAGTATAAACCATCCGGGCCCTTGCCACAAAGCGTATTCTGTGATGAGAGTTTACACAAAACCCTTGAAGTCTTCTGAACGCTTCTGTTGTCTTAATCGTTGGTTTGTGGTTAATTATTTTTAGAGGGACCACTTGAGCAAAGGCTTGAGTCAGAGGCGATAGGGGAACAGAAGTGAGGCACGTTTCACTTGCAAGGTGTAGTGCTGAAACGCAAGTGTAAGGAAGGACGAACAAACATGTAAAAGTTATGGTGTGTTTTAAAGGATGGCGATGCACAGAAATATGACCCGTCACGTCACTGCTGGCAGAGCCGCCTTTCACTTTTCAAAGACCACCCATTCAGCAAACATTTACCTCATGCATTGTTTAAACAGAGCAAATAGAAGGTTAGTGAAAAATGTGTGATAGAAAACAGGCACTTTTCCTTGCATCATACGCTGTTATAACAAGAGCATTTAACATTGCAATAATTTCTTCTTCAGTGTGGGATTTTTGCAAAGTTCTCTATAAGCCTTAAAGTATCATTTGATCAAATAAACGGTTGGATTTTACCTTAAAGTCGTAACAAATGCTTAAGTACTCTGCAATTGAACGTTTATTCTAATTCATTACCAAACTTTATTGTACAGATGGTACCCTAGAATGCCTTGTTAATCATTCTTTTAGTTGCATATTATCAGGGTTCCCGCGGGTCCTTAAAAAGTCTTAAAAGGCATTGAATTCTTCAAAATAAAATAAAGGCCTTAATTGGTATTAAAATGTCTTAAATCAGTCTTT